GGTCGGGAGTTCCGACGTGTCGCACTTCAACCGACTTGGAGGGTTCATCATCTCGTCATACGGACGTGTCCGTATTAATACCGGACGCGTTCCGTATGGATGACCAGAAGCCAACGGCTAGTTTTCAAAAAGCCGTGAGGGTCGGAGTTCCGACATATGTCGGGAGTTCCGACACCTCACTAACTTTAACTCGGTTACATGTTTTTCAAAATTACCGAGGGTCGGGGTTTTGAGCTTGAGTCGGAGTTCGACGGTGAAGTCCCCGGCATTCTTCGGGAGTTCCGATGCCTCACAACATCATCAACAGAACTTAGTTACCGTTGGCGCGTGAGCTCGAGTCATACCCGGACGATAACCGTATGCATACTTGACGTGTCCCAGTATTGCAACGGCTATAAAACGGCTAGTTTTTCAAGGGGCTATAAATACCCCCAAGCCTCCACCTTTGAGGTCTGGCTGATTCTATCGACTTAGACACACGCTTTTGAGCCTTGCCAACCCTCTCTTAGTGAGTGATTGATCAAACTTGCAAAATCAATTTGTGGGTTGAGTGAAATTCAAAAGAGAGCCATCCAACCACTTGAGCACTTGTGCATATTGTCAATCTCGTGATTCAGATTTGTTACTCTTGGACTCTTCGGTCCTAGACTTGTTAGACGTCACGAGAGCACCCGGGAGATTGTGGTGTGCCTCGGAAAGTTTAGTATTCATCGATTCCGCCGCCTCGGAATCAATTAGTGGAAGGAGGAAAAGGAGTTGGAAAAGACTCCGCTAGAGTGACCTTCGTGGTATCCTCTAGGGTCGACCTTCACTGGTCGCCCGCAGCCCCTCAACGGAGAGTAGGACTCGAACGAGTCCGAACTTCGAAAAACAAATATCGTGTCTCAATTCGCATTTCATTTGATATTTGTGTTGCTCTAGCACTTGTGCAGTGTTCTCTCTGTACACCGATAGTTAAATTAGGTGCTCGCAGTTTGGTTTGAAGATAGAAATCAAAAGGAGCAAGTTCGGGGCTGATTTGCGAATCGTATATCTGGGACAAGTCCGGTATTCATACCGGACACGTCCGGTATTTCCTGCCTGCACTAAAAATATTTATTCTCTGTTCTAACTTGATGTTGCAGGGTTGTAGCTTCTAGATATATTCTTTATACATTGTTTACTCTGTGGCTAACTTGTGAGGGGTGGTAGTACTCTTAATTTGGAGTTTCCATTTTGGAAACTCCCATTTCTAAGTGTTTCCGCATTTAAAGGTGTTAATTTTCAGAAACGCCTATTCACCCCCCCTCTAGGCGACATCCTAGGTCCTTTCAGTAACGGGGACGGTTAAACAGGGAACGTTCCCGTACCCGCTATACCCATCGGGTATGGATTCTTGCCCATTTAGATGCCCGCGGGTAAAGATATGATCCCATCCCCTTCCCCTAATGGATCAAATACCCGTCGGGTATCGGGTATCGGGCCCCGTTGCCATCAGCTGCTATGCCTGTCTGTCTCACGGTCAATGTGAGCTGAACTGGAGTTCCCAACACATACATGTGTCGTGTGTGTGTGTTCTCCTTTTTCTTTTCTTCTCCTTTTATAAAAAACTAAAAATAAAGGAATTGAAGAACAAATCGACATGCACTTAATTGGTTGGAGGTTTGGAGCTGGATCGATGATTGTGACATTGTGTCGTTGTCTGCGGCTGCTTGCCGTGGCCGTGGTGTGTGCAATGGAATATAGCTAGATCGATAGTATATAATAGTGTCGTTAATATAACAAACAGCGTTTTGCATGCATAAATAACACGTTTCCAACAGCAATGCTTTGATTAAGACCTCGGGTGTCTGTGTCTGTCGTATCTCGTATATCCTTTTGTGCACGTGAGTATTAGTAGTGTGCCGTGTGCGCTATCACTAGTCTACTACACTGATAACCATCAGAGTATTTGTATAATCCAAGTACAACTCAAGCTCACAAGTCACAAGTGCATGCTATGGTTGTACTTGTACTCCAAATTTTATTGTAAACTACTATCCGTGATATATATGCAGCAACGCGCTGGTATTCTTCTAGACCTTTTAGTTTTTCTTTAGAAATGACTAATGAGGAAATTTTAATAGAGCAATGATAGCGGGCTATGTCATGTCTACAAACGCTACTGACAAATCCAGAGTTGTCCGTTAGAGAAACAATTTGGGCCTGCGTCATGCAAGCCCATGATCCATACACCATATTGTGGACTGGACCTCCTTAGTCCTTGCTAAGGACATAGAGTCATTTGAGCCCACGCTGCTTGCGAGAAACGAGTGCAACTCGTATTCATTTGAGTCCCAATCCTCAGAGCCCTTGCTCCCTTCGACCCGCTGCTAGCTCTGGATCTCCTTTCCTTTGTCTCGCTCGTGTGGGATTTACATTATTTTTGTTTCTTTATTTATTGTGTTCACAGAATTTCTTTTACTCCGCGCTAATAAATTAAGTCATGAGACGACAAGCTTAGCGTGAACATTGTTTTTTTCTTCTTTCTTTCTTTCTCGTTTCTTTATTAGTGTCTCTGTTTTTGATAGTTTAAGTTAATTTATTTTGGAATGGAGTGAGTAACAGAGTTCTTACACCTTGTATATGATGTTTTGACTCGGAACAACAAAGTGCGCACTACATCTCAGCGTCTTGCGGCTCCCCCGTCCTGGACGCGGACGCACACTCTCCTCGTTGCTATCGCGCGCCCCATCCGTCGCCGCTCACTTGCCCCCATCGTGCATGTCGCCCACTTGGCCGAGCCAAGCCCGGTGGCAATGGTGCTTGCACGCGCCGCTGGTGCTAGATGCTAGTGGTGCTCGCGTGCTGCCGCTCACCACCGGCTCTCACCCCGACGGCCGGAATTGACCAGCATAGGCGCTCCCCTTCCGTATGTTGCAAATATATGTTTCACGTGTTTTCATACATTTCAGAGGTATGTTGCAGTTATTTCATATGGATGTTGAAAAAATATATCGAGGATGTTGCACATGTTGCAAGTGTTTTAGAGGCATGTTGCAAGTGTTTGTTTAAAATGTTTCATCTGTTCTGACGTATGTTATAAGCATTTTGATCTAGATGTTGCATATATTTCACACATATGTTGCAATAGTATATTCCAAATATTTCATCTATTCCGGTCTTCAGTTACATCAAGTGTTTTCACATTGCAAGTTGCAAATGTTCTATCTAAATGTTGCATATGTTTTCACACATATATTGCAAGAGTATGTCCAGATGTTTTATCTGTTTTGAGATGTATATTGCAAAGTGTTTCATGTTGCACGTCTTTCATGTTGTTCGGAGAGCCAGGGGGCGTGAAGGAGTGATGGTGGAATGGCACGGGCACGCAAAGAATGGGGTGTGGCGAGCCAGTGTCCGGCGGACGTGGCGCACGACGCTTTGGTGGCCGACGGCCGGGGGGCACAACGACGGGGCTGGGTGCGCTTGCGGGCGAGGCGGACGGATGGGGGTGGAGGTGCGCGGATGGGGCGGGTCGAATCGAGGCGGATTGCGAGCAAATTGTACGGACGCGACGACGGCGCGATGCGCATGCAGGCAGTTGAATTAGCGGACGAGGTGCAGGTTGTGCAGGCGCGCGCGGGAAACGGTCGTCCGATAGAATCCTATCATATCGGACGTCCGGCGCCAGCACATCTCTTATTGAAGTCATCGGTTCTTGTTTCTCCTCCTGCTCAGACAGCCACGATTTTTTATTAGAAGATGTACAGAGTATTAGTGTACGTAATGTAATCAAGATATGGTTTAAAGGAGACATTTAATTATGTAAACTTGTAATAAAGGCACAAATAAACCTAAGGACATGTAAGGCACAATTTCTGTACCGAATTCAGTGAATTCAACCGTGTCCTTTTCCGTTGGGTGGTGTGTTGGCTCATTGTCAGTGTTTCTTTCGTTAGCAACTAGTAGCATCAATTGTCAGTGTTCCTTTCGTTTAGCCTCTTCGTTTCGCTGAAAAAACAAGTTAAAACTACTGTTTTCTGATTTTTGTGAAAGAAAAACACTATTCCTTCACTGATTTTATAGGCAGCAGGGCGTTTAAGTGTCAGCCTCCACCAGCGCCATAGTCAAAGTTGTTCCCTTAGGCGTGCGCAAGCGGCGGTGCCGCCCGGCAGCTAGGGTATAGGCCTCTGCCGCCCGGCAGCTAGGGTATAGGCCTCCTTGCCAGCGCTGCAAATTTAAGTCGATTTCAATCCAATATGACAACCTATCTTACAGTACACTAGAGAGGATCTGAGCTTCTATGTAAATCTTTACTGACACTAGGACGTCCGGAGACGTATTGTATCGAATCTTTTCTCTACCTTAATACAAAGATGCATGCACAAACATTTCACATAATCAAGAAAAAAAAAACTCAGTGAAAATTTGCTGTGTACGACCATCTCACTGTCTGAGAGTCACACTCCAAGTCCGCACATCTTAGAACCCGTTTGCGTTCTTCCAAGTACGGGGAGAATCTTGCCGGCTAATGATGCAATTCAGGAATTATCACATCCCGGCATCCAGTTAGTCCATGACCGTAAGACTGTAGCTGCTATGTCTGTCTGTCTCATTGTCAATGTGAGCTAAACTGGAGTTCCCAACACACAACAACACATGTGTCATGTGTGTGTTTATTTTTTTTTTCTTTCAAATCGTTTCGCACTTACATTGTCTGGAGGCTTGGAGCTGGATAAATGATTGTGTCGTCGTTTGCAGCTGCTCGAAGTCAGTTGGGTTCCGCGAGCGTGGTGTGTGCAATGGAATATATTGCTATATACTCGTGTAACTCGCAAAAAAAAAAGGCATGCATCCAACAGTCGAGTAGGTGTGTGTGTGTGTGTGTGTAAATGAAGATACCTAGCTGGAGAAGTGGAGAACATATGTTATTCCAGTCACCAATTATCAACCGACCAGGTGCTTAGCTTTTTGATAGAAAGAAAGGGAGCATATGCAGGCATGCAGCAGCTGGTGTCACAGATGAAGGAACTAACTAACTAACAAGAAGCCAGTGTTATGATGTCTGAGATCTTTTTTCTTCTTATGGCTATTATGTGAAAAGCGGTGCCACCATTGTCTTCTGGTATTGGTTGAGAGCATCTAGTCCTGCAATATTTATGTAAAAGAAAATATCTTTATCATATCAAGAATATGCATCACTTATTGTACTTTTGGCTTCAACACTAAAGCACTCTAATGCAACTGGTGAACTGAGATAATTACCTTTTTTGAGTTTGAATTTGATCATCCAATATTTCAATGACACCTTTACCACTAGAAATCGTGATTCCCTGCAGTAAAAAATAATTAGGTAAATCCTTAATGTATGTAGTGCTAAGGTTGTCTACCTTATATTATTATATGTTTGTTAATCAACTCTCAATGACCCTTAATATTATACCATCATGCAAAAGGTACAAAACTTATAGTTGGATAGAACAATATCCTCAGTGCAAATAAGTATTAACACTATATGCATTTTTCTCATGAGGAAGTAAAAATTATCAAGACAAAGTCAATGAACAATTGGACAAGTTAACAGAAACTTCCAAATTTGTCATATAGTGAATCAAAATGCTACTTCAATAGGCTCAGAAAATTCTATGACAAATTGTGGGTTTGTTAGGTAGTCGCTTAAGTGTCAATGAATGAGTTTCACATGAAAGATGGATTGTGAGGAGTGCGTATGGGTGTGCTTCCTTATGTATCTAACATATAGTGATACAAAAGCATTAGACTGAATAGACATGTTTGGATACAATTAATTCCAAGGTTCTAAACACACTACATAAACTCCACAACATTTTTAAACTATGTGATGGCTGTTTTCCATCTCAAATTAGAGAACATATATATATATGAAGGTAGATTCCTTTTTATCTATAGTTTGTTATCCCACACATTTCTTCTTAGTCACATGGCACAACAATAACCATGGGCTTAAGGTATCTATTATTTTTTATCCCAAATGTCTATGTTTGTCACCAAACAAACAACTTATATAAGGCATCCATTGTTTGATATAACAATAGAAGCAACAATTGACCTTGTTCATAAGGTAATTTATTTACCTATATAAGAAAAATCCATTTAGTCATCGTAAATAGTACATAAATCCGATGGTAAAGTTTTTTTACATTGATATCCTAACTACAACCAAAACACATTGATTTTTTTTACTTTTGTCTTCCCCTACCTAAGAAATGCACTTCAAAGAACAATTTTTCCTTTGACAAACACACATGCAACATAATTATGATTGTTGATGCATGGCAACGAGTTATGACACAAAACAACAACATACATTGTAACATTTGTTTCCCTAGAAAAAAGGTAACAAAACAATTAAATTATTTGTACCCACACTTTCATATTCCGCTTCACTATTGTCCATGGGCATGTGTGTAACCTCAAATATGCATAACTATACTTGCATGGGCACGTAGGTACATTCTACTGGGCTAAAGTATAGTAACTAATCACTAAATTTAATGAAATCATCTGGGACATAATAAGTTTGTCAAAAAATGAGAGATCAACATTGATATTTTAATGCACATAGGAAGCATTTGGTGAAACTATGAGAAACATATAGTATTATCACCCTTACCCATTGATAATCATTTCCATCACAAACATAAGCTCGATTTTCATGTAAAATTGCATATTTTTTACACCAACTAATCAAATAGTTGAATCATAGTTTCCTCCATAGAAGGAGAAGAAAGTTATTAAGTAGTAAAAAATGCAAATGGCATAAAGGGTAGTCACCTGTGAGGCAGTCACTTTCTCCTTCTCCTCCTCCTCATAGGCACCCTCTTGTTTAGAGGCCACCATGGATTTTTTGTCAGCAACCCTCCCCTATAGGTGAGTTTTTTGGTGGCTTTCCATCCATCAATACTAGTATCAATGGTAGTGATATCAATGCTTCGGGACCTCTCCTTGACTGCACTTGTCGTACAATCCATTTCATGATTATTCTTGACTTTTGTGCTCTGTTCCTTCTCATAGAAAAATAATCAATAAAATAATTATTTTATCCTAGAATTGGGTATCTTTATCTACACACAAACTTTTACATTTATGGTCCTTAAGGCATGTGTAACCTTTAATATGCATAGTTGAACATACATAGGCAAATAGGTACATGTATTTGAGCTTGAGCATACTAAATTCACAACTCAATGTTACATGCATAATAAATATGTCAAACAATTAAATGAACACTATCATTTCACTGCACGTAGGAAAAAATTGATGAACCTAAAATAAACGTATAATGTTGATATCCTTAACTAATTATGTCATTCCTAACACATCATTATACTATATACCAAAATGCATTTCAAACTGTGTACACACCAACAATTCAAACAACTCAATTCTACTTTTCTTGATACAAGGAAAAAAGTTAATAAGTAAAAGTATTAGAAGGCATAAAGAATAGTTACCTGTAAGGTGGCTTCTTTCTCCTTCTCCTTCTCATAGTTTTCTTGCGGCTTGGAGATGAGACTAAACCTTCGCTTTCCCTTTATGACTGAATCATGTTGTTGAAAGGTCTCCTCAGGATTTTTGCTAGAGACCTTCCCGAAGTCATCGCTATAGATTGATTTTTTGGTCTTCCATTTATCAATACTGGTGTCGATGATGGTGTAATAAATATCCTTAGTTGTATCATGCTTGCCTTCATGATGACTTTTGGGTCTTGTGCTCCTTTTCTTATCTTTGTGAGGGTGTAGGGTATCCATTGGAGCAGAGGAGGGGAATGCTAAAGCATTGGTGATACCAGTGCCACCGCCTCGCGCCAGAGCCGCCACCGGCCGCGCGAGCTGCTTGAGCGCGAGCGCCGACGAGGGAGAGGGCGAGGGCGAGGGAGAGGGAGAGGAGAGCGAGCGAGCGAGCGAGAGAGAGAGAGAGCGATGGAGGGAGCGCCTCCTACTGGCCGGATCCGAGCGCGGCGGCCGGCCTCCTCGCTGGATCTGGGCGCCGGGAGATGGAGAGGAGCTGGTGGTGGTGCGCGGACGGAGAGGTGCTGGTGGCGGGCAGCCGGCCTCCTCGCCGGATCTGGGAGCCTGGAGTGGTGGCGCGTGAGTGATCACTGGCGAGAGAGAGGAGTCGCGAGGGAGAGGAGAGTGAGGGACGCGAGCGGCCGGGTAATGGAGAGGAGATGGCTAGGGTTTCATTCTTGTATATATACTGCGACGTTGGTGTCGGGCCTAAGATGGGCTGAGATGGACCGTGAGTGGGCTCGGCCACACTAACGGAGGTGGGTCTTATAAGAGTTTCGCCTCCGAATATGAGGATATTTTTAGAGACCGTAAATAGATTTTATGAAAACGCCTCTGTAAATCGATTATGCGAGGCAGATAATTGTGACCGTTAATGAAAATGATAGCCTCCGTTAATCATAGACATTAACAAGGCGGTTGGATTTACAAACGCCTAGGTTAATAAAAGGGCACCGCCTCACAAAAGATTTTAAGTGGTAGTGGCCCTGTTCGTTTGTCTTATAATCTGTACTTTCGGCTTGTTTTTTCAGCTGGAACAGTACTTTTCTCTCACAACAAATCAGCCGGAACAGTGTTTCAATTCGTTTTTTCAGCGAAGCGAACGGAGCCAGTATAAAGAATTTAGCAAACCTGCCTTAAGGGATGGTTTGAATGGATACTGCAACAGTCTCCTTGGGCAGGCAGTGGCACTCCGGTTATCCAATTGACACCTAGGCTCAGGATCAGTTGCAGGCAATGCATGCCAAGCTTCCATCTAAACAAACCCTAAATCTCAGAGAGTATTGCATCTTCACTTGGAAAGTGTTGGAAATTACTCTCCTTAGTAAACCATTAGCTTGTTTTTCCAGCATGTATCTTGAGCACGAATTACACAGAATACCATGTCGATTGAGAACGGAAGAAAAACAAATAAAATAACAAAAAGTTCAGAACAGCCCACCAAGACTGTATTTGCAGGTGGGTCTAGCAGGCCAGCAGGTCGGCCTGCGCCTGCCTGTAACCAGCAGACAGCAGAAACGGGCCTCTTGTTATGGGCCGAAACGAAGCTCACATCCGATCCGACTGACACAACACCACCACCACTCGCCGCCGACGCAAAGCAAAGCAGAGCAGACGACGCCCCACCGTCGCAGCATCCCCATGGCCATGGCTTCCACCGCCACCGCTGCTGCTTCTCTCCGCGCCGGCCTCCTCCTCGTCGTCCTCCAATACGCTTCGCTTCCCTCTCCGCCGCCGCCGCGCCTCCCGCCCCCTCGCCGTCGCCGCCTTCAAGAAGCTCTCCGAGGCGTCCCCCGTGCCCATCCCTCTGGAGCCCACCCAGCCCCTGGTCGACGAGGACACGCTGCCCCCTAAGCCCGGGGTCTACGGCGTCTACGACCCCGCGGGTGAGCTGCAGACCTGCAGTTCGTCGGGATTTCGCGTAACGTCAGGGCCAGCGTCGAGGGCCACCGCCGGAAAGTCCCCGCCAACCTCTGCGCCTCCGTCAAAGTACGGCATCGACTAATCATGTATCATTAGATCACAGTATATGCTCCTGTGTGTTTAGCCCTTGCTTTAGCCTCGTTTTGGAACTAAACCAGTAGTTACTTTTGAGCTTTGGTATTGGGGATCGTTAATTTGCGCAAACTGATACAGCACATGCTAATTTGGACCACTAAGTAAGGAATGGTTTAATCCTGTGTCCTCTAGATCTTACTTTTGTTGGCGGCCGAAAGGAGGGAACAAAAGGTCACCAGTTTTCGTAGTTGCGAATAGTGGATTGGATATGCTTATCTTCTCCATTCTCCCCAATCAATAATATTCTCATTATATTGATTGGCCATTTTATAAATATCTCTAGCTAGCTAGTATCAGTCGGTCTATACTTTGCTTGATGTTGGAGTTTGCATTCCTCATTCGGTATATATGCTCACTTACTTTCTTTCTCGCCGAAAGAAAATATGCTTTCTCACTTACTTTCTTGCTGAGCAGGGTGGGGTGGTACGACGATACCCTTGCTTCAGCTCCTCAGGCGGTTCGTTAAAAAAAAAAAATGACAGTGGCTGCTATAGTGTCGTCATTAGTGTGCATGGTGTGGTGGTGTACATGATCGATTGATTCGTCCCAAAAGGGGCGGGCTTGGGGTTGGCACATGCATGTGGTGTGGGCTTGGTCCCCTACCATGTTTGTGTTGGCTTATTATTTGTGGGAGAGGAAGAGAGAGGCTCAGTGTCTTACGTTACGCCTCCCGTTCATGTCCTAGCAAAACCAACCCCATCTCTCTCTCGGATCTATCTTCTCCAACTCCGGCGGTCGATCACACCACCACCGTACCAATGCAGACGCAGACGCAGACGCAGACCCAAACGCCGCCGCCGCAAAAGCAACAGCAGCCGCCCCCTTCTTCACAGATGACGATGAGGCGGCCGGCGGATCAGGGTGAGGAGGCGGCGGCCAAGGCGACGGAGGACATGAAGAGCCGGGTGGACGGCTTCGACGCCGGGAAGCCGCCGCCGTTCCGCATCGGCGACGTGCGCGCGGCGGTGCCGGAGCACTGCTGGCGCAAGAGCCCCTGGCGGTCGCTGTGGTACGTGGCGCGCGACGTGGCGGTGGTGGCGGCGCTGGGCGCGGCGGCGGCGGGCATGGATAGCTGGGCGGTGTGGCCGGTGTACTGGGCGGCGCAGGGGACCATGTTCTGGGCGCTCTTCGTCCTGGGACACGACTGGTGCGTACGCCCGTCCGTTCCTCCTCCAGGCCGGCCGGGACCACTCATCGTCGTCTGTTCCTTTTCTTGGTTACGACGACGGTGACGACCAACCTGACAAAGATGCATGTAATGTATACATATGTAATGTATTGATCGGTGCAGTGGTCACGGGAGTTTCTCGGACAGCGCGACACTCAACAGCGTGGTGGGGCATCTCCTACACTCCTTCATCCTCGTCCCCTACCATGGATGGTATGTAGTATGCATGTTCTTCAATTCGATCGAATTCCTCCTTGCTTTGCTTGTTCTTCTTCTTCTTTTCACCTCCATGGCTCCATCCCTTGATGCATGCATGCCTATATAGCCTTTTTGTCGCTTTCGTTTGGAATAAGGCATCGACGATAACTATGGGTGTGCACGTAAAGTAAGGCAGGCAAACAAAAGATGCAAGAGAGCACACTGCATGCATGTTGCTTTTTTCTTTTTCGTTCTCTCCAAAAATTCGATACGATACGATCTCGATCGGTGTCATAGATATTTATTAGGATGGTCTATGTAGGAGAGCATATATATCGTACGTATAATAACATTTTTATATGGAGAGCACACTGCATGTTGCTTGCTTGCTTGATTATTATATATTATTACATAGAGAATCTCTGCTGATATGATATGATGCACGCATACCAGTGTAGCATCCATGCATGTACTAGCTAGCAGCTGCGGGGGATCCAGGAATATTTTAGAGGACTGAACACGCCCCCCACCACCACCACCACCACTGCTGGATCGGCCCATGCTAGCTAGCTGCATAATTAAATTTGTTGCATGCAGTGTCTTGTCTTCATTCACCTCAGCACAGCCAAGTACTAGCTACCTGTGTCATGTATGCACTGTATACAAAACATGTCATCATGTAAAAATTAAAGAAATCCATTGCCATGCACACATATATCGTCATTAGCAGGCAGGTTTGATATCTGCTTAATTAGCTAGTCTTTGATGATACATAGTCATGCATAATAAATATTAACCTGAGCTGGAACACGTACCTACGCCCTGTTCGTTTGGGCTGGTTTGGCTTATAAGCCATGGCTGAAAGTATTGTTGGCTGGTTTGGTGTGAAAGAAAAATATTATTCGTTGGCTGATAAACCATAACTTATAAATCAAATACGATCAAATTATGGGAGTTGACTGGTTAATTATTGTTGGGCATGCACGAATGATGCAGGAGGATCAGCCACAGAACACACCATCAGAACCACGGCCACATCCACAGGGACGAGTCATGGCACCCGGTCAGTCACTCAGTACATCTATCTATCTATCTATTCGTATACTACTACTAGTACATCTTAAATATAAATATATATTTTTTTTGTTGCTGCTAGTATGTAGCTGCTACACATATACTCTCTCTGACCAAAAAATAATGCAATTATGAAATCCGTGTCAGTCAAAATAGCTCAAGTTTGACAAAATTTATAACAAATAGTATTAATATTTATGTCTCCAAATAAATTTATTATAAAAATATATTTTATGACTAATATAATGATACTAGTTTTGCATCAGGAATATTAGTATATTTTTTTATATATAATTTTACTCAAAGTTTAAATTGATTGACTTCTCGGGACTGAGAATTGTATTTTTTTTGTTTTTTTGACGGAGGGAGTAGTAGCTAGGAGTGCATACTGACTTAAGTAAGATAAATGCGGTTGAGCTTCACCGAGCAGCAGCATTTAGGCCTCCAACAACCGTCATGTTCTTCTAGAGACGATAGCATATATGTGCAGTACTATATTAGCAAAAAATCTCAGCATAAATTTTGTCCATCCTTTTGTGAAACTATCCTTTGCTTTTCATGCATGGGATGCTCGACCAGCTAGCTTTCAAACAGACTGCTGCAGATCTAGGCGCTCCAGTCAGTCACATGGCATTGCAGGCTACTAATCAACCACTGCTTCTTATTAGCTCTGACTGATGCAGAGATTAATTGAAAGATGTGGTCCATGATGCCTGAACCAATAATAATGAATTGGGTACTG